AGCTTTCAACCAAAACCAAAATCAGGATTTTCAATACAAATGTGAAGACAGTTCTACTGTATGGAGCGGAAACTTGGCGAACTACGAAAGCCATCATCCAGAAGATACAAGTGTCCGTTTGAGAACCCAAAACAGCATGTTACCCCTAGTAGCGTTCTACGTGAAAGACCTTTGGTGACAACTCGAGGATGGCTTCCTGCTAGTCATCCCTTACTTCCTACAATCACATGTTTGCTGGTCCGTCCGACGGACGAAACAGCCACGATTCGTAAGTGTTCATCCGTTCTAGTGAGGGGCGGTGTTGCAGTGCTTTCATGTTTACGAAAACAAACGCGACTAGTTAAATAGCAACATTCATTATTATAACCAATTGTACCAGTGAACATTCTAAGAAATATCTGTTTATTTTTACTTTCTTTTACGGTATGATATTTGTACTTTTTGCACATACACTGACACTACACTCGCTCTCTTATTTACCTTTCGCCCATTCTAAGGTAGGTTTCAGTATTCCGTCGATACCACGAAGCTGCCAGCAAATGCACCTATTTCATGTGGTCTGTCACGTTGTGGTTGATGTGAGCTCACCAATTCTGTGGCTGTTATTATTCGATATACTCTTAGGCTTCATAAACTGGCCATCCTGATAACACTTATTAGATAATTCCAAACGGTGTATAAGTCAGGAGACACATATGAAGCCTTGATTACGCTTATCATTACACCTCACAGAGAACACGAAAATCAGAGGCACGCCGAAGAGCAAGCGAGCAAGTGAACCAACAGGATTAAAATGTACATATATATACTTAGGAATATGAATGAGTCACCGAATTATTTAAGAGGCTAACATTAAAGCGAGTACAACGAATATGCACGTAGGCAATGTTTACTCACACCTGCTCATACGAACGCGACAGTAACAAAATCCAATGGTACTTATAAGAGGTTGCTATACAAATTACTCTGTCTGTTAAATAAGTTAAAATGGGCTAAACCAATTTGAACATGAACGGAATCGAATGTGTGTGATGTACTACACTGTCTTATTTAACCGGTGAAAGATTTCGGATATCGCTTATACTGGAACGCATATAATGCCTCAGCAAGGAGTAAAACAGGTGGCTTTTCTACAGCCGACTACTCGTTTTTCTCAAGTGAGAACAGAAAAGGGTCAAGAACCTTTTGTAACTTCCTTTTTTAGAACCAAAATTCTTGGGTACATACATATGCTGTACTAAACTTTATCCAAATAAAAGTATACTGGAGCACAAGAATGATGTAGTTTTAAATCTCTGACAGATTCATATCAGGTGGATTAAAATCTCTTTGTTTGACTTCTTATTACCGCCATCGTACAACCGGCTTCGCGCTAAATGATATAGGGAAATCGAGGGGATGTACTTAGTAGCATACAATATCATTCGCAAAAACTGTAGTCAGATCGCGGGTCACTAAAGTGATCAGCCCTACTTAGAATTTAACGCAGCCACTAAAATTTCAAACACACAGTTAGAAGTTTTCCGTATTAAAATCATCATTTTAGCAACTGTCGTTGTAGATGACAGTGAGTTCTATTTTTACCACACCTTAGCTAGTTTTATCCCAATAATTTTGTAGTAACATGAAGTCATGGGCTAACCAAAATTGGTCACAACTTTACTGAGTGGCATTATTCCGTTTTGTAGTATCCTCATTTCATGAAATTTATTTTGTAGTGTACAACCATCTATTAATGAAAATCTTAAGAGTGACTGTAGTCGAGATTCAAACAAGACAGTTTATAAGGACATCTGGAATAAGTCCAATGAAGCTTATACTTTATCAGTCATAGTCGGGAAAGAAAGTCACATAAAATAGTTGCTGTTACATTCAGTTCATTTGTTGTGGCTGCCGACGAAATGGTACTGAGTTCATGAATTTCAGAACAGGTAACTGCACATTCATGTGGCTAAAAATTCTCCCATGTGGATGTTCCATATCAAAGCAACCCTCCAGTTATTCCCTTCACTGAAGGGCAGGTGTGGGCGGAACGAATAAAGAGCAGGAATAGTAATCTGTGGATCTCGAGCATAAGATCTGACAACTCCCAACATATTTCTAAACTATATTCCAAATAACCCACTTCTGTCTTTGCCTTAGGGCACTTATAAGTGACTCAGAATAACAGGAGCAAGAAGAACAGATGACATTTTGACATGACGTTACACTGACATGCTATGATCGGCGAAAAGTTTCACAACAGCGATCATAAATTGTCCTCTTTTTACTACTATTTCTTGAACAATGAATCAAATCCAAAACAATAGCTACGCGTTTTCAACACAGATCATAAACACGCTGACTAGGAAATCCTCCAATTTATAGTTCAGCACTCCAACTGGACTGTGTTCTTTAATAGTCATGACCTCACTAAAACACTACATATGTTCAGTCACCATTAAATCTGTACTAGACACTACTATCCCCTCAAAAAAGACTCCCTATATCAACCAAAACCAGGGCTAAGTTACATAAATTAAGACGGGCATATTGTAGAACAGAAGAATCCAGCATCCTGCACCAAATCTACTGTACTTTAGGGTGTGGAAAATCAGCATGAAAGGTGCAAACAAGTAGAGGAACGTGGTGAATTCGCTGCTGGATATAAATCCTGAAACCTCTGGCGTCTGCTTGAAGAACGGAGTTTACAAGATTTATTGTATACTGCATGATGGAGAGACACATTATAACCAAACTGTTATTAGTGAATATTTTAGCATATGTTTCTCCCTCAATCAGAACACATTTCTTACCTCAGAAAAATTTCGTCATCGACCTTGACCTTAAAAATATTCACGCCACCATTAAAACCCTCAAGCAAATTAAGCTGTGGGGTGGATGATATACCACACATTGTAGAATCCTTTTTTGAATGTTTTGTTTTTGGAAAATCCCTCCATGTTTACATATTTTTGTTATGACGTGACGGACTTTTTCTGTTGACATTTTTGGTATTTTATTTGATTCCAGTTTGAGATTTTATCATTGTATATTGTTATTATTTCTATATTTTGTACTTATATTGAAGTTTTTGTGTTTGCTTCTGAACTGTATATATGTTGATGAAATTTGATCTTTAATATGGCTACAGCCATATTTGGATTGATACGGTAGCTGTTGGACTTAACGTCACTTATTCATCTTTGTTTTGGATACTCTTCGGAGTAATTGTAACCTGGAAGGTGCATCAATTCCAGGTATTGCTTTGTATTTTCATCCTTTAATATAATACAGACCGTTTTCTCCTAGAATTTTTGCGTTTTCTGGACTTTGGACTGGGAGATACGAGTTCAGGTTGCACTTATTGGAAACCATTGAACCGCTACGGTAGAAATCCATTTACACACATACTGTTCGGAATGGTAGGACCGAGAAGACTGACATTACTACTCAAAGTGTTTATAGTATCCTTGGAGTCTGAAACATACTCCGAAGCTCTCCCTAAACACAAATCAGGGCATAAAAGCCTGATGCAAGACTACAAATTAATTAAAATCACCCCTCTTATCTCACAGGTGGAGAAAGTGATAAAAGATACAATATCTGATCACTTTCTCAGAGAGGATTTAATCGATCCCTCACACCACGGCTACATTAGGACTAGGTCATGTCTGATAGATTTATTTGGTGAAGTTATCAGCATATGCGATAAAAAGCAACAATTGGTTGCACTGTTTTTATATCACGAGAGATTTCGATGAGGTACTTCACAATCTCTTAATCAACAAACTTCAGTTCATCGGGAATACTGACCCCTATTGTAACGGATTATGTCTTTTTCTCACGAATAGAAACCAAATTACTAAAATTAACTCCACCACATCTACACCACAATCAAGGGAGTGTCTTGGGTCCACTCCTTTTCATAATCTACATCAACAACCTATGTAACTGCTTCAACACAGGTAAAGTCTACCTCTACGCTGATAACCTAACAGACATCTATAGAACTAACTTGTATGACGTAGGAACAATCCAATATGAATTCAGTAATGTAGATACATGGAGTAAGTGTTGAAACATAGATCTTAATACTGAGAAGACGCGTCTACCAAAACAAATCTCACACTCAGCAAGAACGTTTTACCTAAATTTGTATCAGTAATTTGACTTTGAAGAGTATTACTCGCAAAGCCTACAGCTTTCTGAACATAATCCCAACAAAGTATCCCAAATGAGTAAAAATTGCTCAGTTTCATTTTTCGTAGCTGTCTTCATAACAAATCTAGAATTATTCTTTACAAGACATGTGTAAAGTCTGAGCGTTCTGTACATACTTCTCCGCACAATTTACAGGATTTATTCATATAACTATAATCTTACATGAACCACTAGATTGTATATATAATACTTTGTTATTACACTTAATGTGAATTCACAGACTATGATTATCAAGCAGGAAAATCGACTATCCCCATTTAAAATATTGCATTTTTATCCACTTCATAACACAATAAGCCCTTGAAATGTTTAGACACAATGTTATGAACACAATCGACTGTGTCATCAACACTCTGATGTATATCATTTAGTACTTTCCAGATGATAATGATGTCACAGGTGACGCCAAAACGATAGACTCTTATATGATTGTTAGTCATAAAACTTTTTCTTTGCCCACTTAGTTGCTTCTTTCTGATTAAAACAGAGAATGTGAAATCTCTTACCACTTCTGTGGTTGTTTGCTTAAGACTCGGATGTTTATTACCTTTGAAAATATTGTCGAGCAGATTAGATTAAGTGTATCAAGACAGAGCCTAACTTCACAGCTTTAGAATGCAAGTCAATTCGACTCATAGTTCCCATGTAGTACAAGCATTCAAAACCCATATTAAACTAACAGGCACCAGTCTATACTGAGAATTTCTTACAATACTAAACATATAGTATCAAGGGTTAAGAAATTAAATATCTCTGTGTATGTTATACGTTATGAAATATCTTTATTTTTTTTTTTTAGAAAAAGAAGCATGTTTACAATTAAATCAAGATCTTACTACAACAGTCCTCTTTCATCATCGGTCAGAAATTTCAATTGAATATCAATATTACAAGTAATAGATGTAGTGAAGAGCATAGCAAAAATAAGCAAACCATAGTTATATTGTGTTCGCTTAGAAAATTCTTCTAAAGCATACGCATAGTGACCTAAGGGTAGAAGATGAAAACAAAATTTCGAATAACATTTTCCTAATATAAGATAAGCAATATAAGTGTTTATGGTTAGGATTCATTATATTTAACAGCAATATTTAAAGTCATTCATTTTAATTCAACTTCAACAAAGTAACTTGAAAAAAATTCATGAAATGCATCTTGATACGCGACGTCCGAGGATGCCCAAGATAAAATTTACAGGTACTTAAAAATGGTTTTTTTATTTTTAGAAAAGAATAGGAATCTGACAACATTTGATGCTTACACTAATATAGAACAAGTGGAAAATTATTATAAATGTTGATGATTATACTTATATTCTATCAGTCAAATCAGTATGCATTGAGTTTTGGAGCAATACAATGTTCATGAAGAAGTAACTTGTTAATTTATATTATCTAACGTGTCTAATTGAGATTATAATATGGTCGATAAGAGGCAAATTAAACACTCAAAAGTTATAATATGCTTGCTTTCCCTTTCCGCCTTTTTTCCAATTTACTTTCATTTTTCTCATATTTTTCTCTATTTCTCGGTGTAGTGTGTTCTTAGACCGTCCTCTTTCTCTTTGATTTTGAGGATTCCAAGTGAGGGCCTGTCTCATGACGCGGTTGGGTATTTTCCACAATGCATATCTTATCCACTTCCAGCGCTTCTTCCTGATTTCTCCCTCCAATGGAATCTGGTTTGTTCTCTCACACAGTACGTTGTGGCTGATGGTGTCTGGCCAACGAATCCGAAGTATTCTGCGTAGACAACTGTTAATAAACACTTGTATCTTCTGCATGATGGCTTTCGTAGTTCTCCAGGTTTCCGCTCCATACAGTAGAACTGTCTTGACATTTGTATTGAAAATCCTGATTTTGGTGTGGATTGAAAGTTGTTTGGAGTTCCAGATATTTTTCAATTGTAGAAATGCAGCGCTTGCTTTGCTGATCCGCGCCATCACATCTGTATCGGATCTACCTTGATTGTCGATGATGCTGTCCAGATATGTAAAGGTGTTAACGTCCTCCAAGGCGTGTCCATCAAGAGTTATCTGGTTGGCGCATGTTGTGTTATAAAGCAAAATCTTGCTTTTCCCTTTATGTATGTTGAGACCTGCTGCTGCTGAGGCTAATACACAACGGACTACAGTTTGTTATATATAACATGTCCTAGTATAAAAACTCAACATGGCACTGACTTCGGTCGTATGAGAGTCCAAAAGAAACGACTAGTTACGCTAAGATATTGCACCAATTGACAAAATGATAAACAGGTATTAAAATATACATAGACATGTCAGAGTGAGAAACAAAGGAATCCAATACTGGCCGTTGGGATACATTAAATAATAATTTCAAATGGTATATGAAATTGAGTTTTCTCAATAAATCGTGTCATGAAATCAAAGCGAAATGAGGTACAGGAATCAACAAAAATATCTTCCTACCATGCATCAAAGACATATCGGAACATACAGCACGACTACTGAAAACGTTTGGAATAGGTGTGGCACAGTCAGTCAGTCAGTTGCAACGTAGAACTTCGTACGTAAGTACATAAGTTCATGTCGCCATACCACATCAACACACAGATGTATTTGTCAACTCAAATCAAATAGTAGAAGAGGTAGTAAAGGTATTAGAAGTAATCGGAGAGGTTAGGATTAGAAGATATTATTCAAGAAGTTTGATTTAATGAGAAAAGTTTAGTGAGTCGAAACTAGAGGTGTTGAAGATCATAAAGATTAGGATTTGAGAGAACACAAAGAATAAATGCACTGGCGCCATTGCAAACGATTTTGAGCCATGTCATTCAAGGTCTCTAACCATCGATTATTATCATCTGGCGGACCCCAACCAGGTAGTCGACAATTACCGACATGGCTAAGTCCGCTAGTCAATGACTTCATGGATTTCTGCCATGTTTTGGTTTGGCCGCCCCTTACTTTCTTCCAACCTACTCCTACACTACAAAACAAAGATCGACGAGGCAGTCGGTGGTTGGGCATACGCAACACATGTCCCAACCACCTCAACTGGTGAAGTTTCAATACTTCATCGATTGATCTGCCATTCTTACCTAGTACACGTTTCCTAATAACAGCGTTGCTCACTCGGGTGTCCCACGATATACGAGCAATGCTTCGAAGACACCTATGATCGAAAACCAATAACCGACGAGTATCTTCTACTCTCACTGGCCATGTTTCACAGCCAAAAAGTAAGACGGAGCGAACTACTGCGCAGTACACTCGTCCTTTAGTCAGCAAACGGATATCTCGCCTACGCCATAAGTGACGCAGGTTGGCAAAAGCCAATCGAGCCTTCTGTATCCCAGCTGAGATTTCGTCAGTCACCAGAGCATCGGCACTGATGAGACTCCCAAGATAAGTGAAGCGGTCTACACGTTCGACTACTTCACTCCCTATCACTAGTTCAGGTGCCGATGCAACCCAGTCTTGAAGCAACATTTTGCATTTCGAGGGGGAAAACCGCATCCCGAACATGCTTGCATTGTTGCTTAGGGTGGTCAGAAGACTCTGCATTTTGTCAGCGTCTTCACCAAGTAGGACAATGTCATCGGCATATTCTAAGTCAATAAGCCAGCCACCTGGTAAAAGGTCTACTCCTGAAAATTCAGACGAGGATAAGGTTATTTCTAAGAGCATGTCTATGATAAAATTAAACAAGAATGGAGAAAGTGGACATCCCTGATGGACACCACTTGATGTAGAGAATTCCGGTGACAGTTCGCCATAAACCCTCACTCGACCAGTGGTGTTCGAGTAAAGGGCTTGTATGAGGTTAATGTACTTCTTTGGTACACCTTTCAATGACAGACACTGCCACAGAACCTCACGATCCACTGAGTCAAATGCCGCCTTAAGGTCCAGGAAAACAACTATTGTAGGACGCCTAAATGTGTGTCTATGTTCTAGGACCTGTCGTAGTGTGAAGATGTGGTCTATACAACCACGTCCAGGTCAAAAACCAGCCTGGTTTTCTCTAGTCTGCGCTTCACGAGCTTTCGTTAAGCACCGAAGTATTACTGAGGCCAATATTTTAGATACTATATTAGTTAGACTGATTCCTCTGTGATTGTCACAAGAAGACTTGTGTTCTTTCTTATAGATTGAGACAATCAGTGATTGAGACCAGTCGGATGGGATTACGTCCAGTTCCCAGATTCTACCTAAGATCTCAGTCAACCTAGTTGCTAAAACTGGACCACCATCCTTAAATATCTCAGGGGTCAGTCTCTCAGGACCAGCAGCTCGCCCTCGCTTCAGATTTCCTAACGCTTTCTCAACTTCATTAAGACTAGGGGGACTTACGTCGACTTGCCATTCAGGATGACTGGAGATCGTGGGTAACTGAAGAGTGGCTCGAGGCCAGTTGAACTGATCCCTAAAGTGTTCTGCCCATCGATCCAGTCTCCTGGATTGAGAATAAATAATAGTCCCGTCATTTTCTGAGATAGTCTCACTTACACTAGGATTCCTAATACCAGTTTCCTTGATAAGTCGGAAAAGTTGTCTACTGTTGCCGATCGCCGCTGCCTTTTCCATCGCTTTTGCTTTCGCCACCCACCACTGTTCGCGATCGTTACGTAGGCTTTTCATAAGTCTGCGCCCAAGGTGGGATGAGTTTTCGCGCATCCATCAGATCGGTGGATGCTACTGAGATCCACGGCTTCATTCTAGCCTTATGGTCAACCTTACTAGCAGATATCACTGCTGTTTCCACAGCCATTTTGATATCATTCCATCCTGCTTCCGGACGGGAATCGCTTGCATAGTTGCTTAACTCTCTTTCTAGTTCCTCCTGAAATATATTTTTTGCCTTATTATCATTAAGTAAAACCCTAAGAGGCTTTCTTACGGTGTCTTTCCTACGCCCAGTAAGCCTCAAACAAATACGCGCTTGCACTAGGGCATGATCTGAATCCAAACATGTGCCCCAGAACGAGCGACAGTCCTCCATCGAACCCCTACATCGGTGGCTGATGGCGATGTGATCTAGTTGCGTCCAACGTTGAGACGACTTTGGAGGTCGCCAGGTCAACAGATGCTTTTCCTTATGCCTAAAGTTAGTGTTTGCTAAGAATAGGCGGTTGTCTGAGCATGCTTGCAACAGACGGTCACAATTGTCTGTTTTTTGAGCCGCGAGACCATAACATCCACCTAGGTGTCTCTCATTTTCACTTAATCTACCTACTTGTGCTGTTATGGGTATGAGGGCGGTTGTCACTTCCCGGCTGCCCACACCGTGGAAGGTTGATTCTTGAGGAACCTGAAAAGGAAGATTGATTTGTGTTGGTGCGTGACCGCAGAGCCCAAGGGACAACTGCTTGAGACCGGTCACGCACGGCCTTTTTATGAAATGTTTTTGAGGATTAGCTCCGTTCTTAAAGGCCCTTAGTGGGCACCCTTACCCAAGGAAACGGAAATCCGTGAGGTAGGGGAGGTGTGACATTTTTAGGGCCGACCTATTCTAACCCTTCCTTCCTTGTGAGAAGGCAGCATCGCTGCAGATGCTGGTTGTCCGAGGGAAACACCTTACTGCTGTCACACCCCTCTGCAGTCAGCAGTACGACTTCGCCCTCAGACCTTGGATAGCTGCTTTTAGTCTCATCGTTCTCCAATCGACCTGTCTGGCATGGTAGAACCTAGAGGAACATATGTTCCAGCCAGTATAGCTCGGTTGGGTCATCACGATAGGCAAGCCCGACCACCACGTCAAGGTAGCAGCTACGGTCGGGCGTAGGCGAGATATCAGTTTGCTGACTAAAGGACGAGTGTACTGTGCAGTGGTTCGCTCCGTCTTACTTTTTTGCTGTGAAACATGGCCAGTGAGAGTAGAAGATACTCGTCGGTTATTGGTTTTCGATCATAGGTGTCTTCGAAGCATTGCTCGTATATCGTGGGACACCCGAGTGAGCAACGCTGTTATTAGGAAACGTGTACTAGGTAAGAATGGCAGATCAATCGATGAAGTATTGAAACTTCACCAGTTGAGGTGGTTGGGACATGTGTTGCGTATGCCCAACCACCGACTGCCTCGTCGATCTTTGTTTTGTAGTGTAGGAGTAGGTTGGAAGAAAGTAAGGGGCGGCCAAACCAAAACATGGCAGAAATCCATGAAGTCATTGACTAGCGGACTTAGCCATGTCGGTAATTGTCGACTACCTGGTTGGGGTCCGCCAGATGATAATAATCGATGGTTAGAGACCTTGAATGACATGGCTCAAAATCGTTTGCAATGGCGCCAGTGCATTTATTCTTTGTGTTCTCTCAAATCCTAATCTTTATGATCTTCAACACCTCTAGTTTCGACTCACTAAACTTTTCTCATTAAATCAAACTTCTTGAATAATATCTTCTAATCCTAACCTCTCCGATTACTTCTAATACCTTTACTACCTCTTCTACTATTTGATTTGAGTTGACAAATACATCTGTGTGTTGATGTGGTATGGCGACATGAACTTATGTACTTACGTACGAAGTTCTACGTTGCAACTGACTGACTGAATCTACCTACTTGAGCATTAAAGTCACCAGCCATTATTACTATATCAGAGCGCCTAGCTTTTTGGAGGAGGTCCGAAAGGTTTCTGTAAAACTCGTCTTCAACCTACTTTGAACTGCGTTGCGTAAAAATTCCGTTGTGTTCCAACGCTTCCTTTCATCATCTTCCCCCTTCTTCTGCTGCCAAACATTACGTTTTCACTCGCGTCATATACTACTTATAAGTAGCGCGCACCACACTACTACTACTACTACTAAGCACATTTCTAGATACAACTACTAGTAATAGACATAATTATATTCCAACCAATTTTGTTCACAAAATACAAAAATACCAACAACACATGTAGTTGTAGTATATCCATTATATAACCTGGAGGCAATGGATGGACAGACTGGAACGGAAAAGACTATAGCCTAACATAACTCAAATCTAATTGGTTCTCTTCGCATGTTTATGCAGTAGAACAAGAACGATCATATACGCGTAGAATACAATGAATTCATTCTTTTCTTGTTAGTTTCATACAAGTTAATATATAATATATATATTGAATTATTTCTAATTGATAAACGTGAATGTTAAAATTAATTTATCAATTTCTATGGAAGAAATTGTATATAGTGTGAAGAATGTTAGTGAAGTAGTCAAATGTACATACATATACACACACAAATATGCTTTCAGGTATACAAATCATGAATAAATGATTCAAATAGTTGAACTGTAATCTACAAGCATTTCAACTTGACTTCATTTAATCTTGATAGTTGTGCCTTGGTATTTATCACCAACCAGTATAGAACATAGTTTCTATTTTTTATTATTCTATATACATGTAGTAAAGACCAGTATTTCAGTTAATTTATAAATATGATAACTGGTTGTTATGCATGCACGTAAACACGTTATTTGATATGCTTGAATTATTACGAGTTTACCTTAGTCGGAAAACCAGAGCAAGGATTAAGGAACCAACGACATGACAAGCTAATCTAATCCGATTGTCCCAAACCCCCATTGAGTAAAATAAGAAGAACTTGATATGAAGTAGAACATGTATTCCACCAGCATCCAGAAAATACGAGGTGCGAGTCCAGAAGAGAATGAGGATACGGGTCCGGGTCATAAAACGTTACAGATAATGCGTATTTATACAGCTGGGTCCAATAGGAAACAACATTGAAGTCTGTGACATTGACAGTTAAGACGACCATAATATTGACCAGTAGGAATTGACCAATAGAATTAGACTTCCAAAAATAAGTTCTCTTAGGATATTTGATGAATATCCTAACAACTGTAAACTTGGGTATATTGTAATTCTGTTTGAATTTCTAGCAACAGATACTGATTCAAGCTAAGGTATCTTAGCTTTACTTAGCATTAACGTTAGGTGAAATACATTGTTAAATTTCACTTGAGTTTGCCAACACACACATATATGTATAATGCAGAGTGAAATAACAAGAAAAATGAAAAGGGGATAGAATGAGTGAATACTTACCGTTTTAACTTCTGTATAATTTTGTAAACCATATTCACCTAATTCTCGACCGACACCAGAAAATTTATAACCACCAAACGGTGCAGCAGCATCAAAAACATCATAACAATTTATCCTGTAGGAGAAATAGACATTTCTAATGATGAACTTATGATAATAGAAATTTGAACATCTTAACCCTAACTGCATCCATCAATGTGATGTAGTACTGTGGACGATGTAAAAATAAAGTAAAGATGATACCAGTCAATCAGTCAATTCACATGAAGCCTGTTGTATGTGTGAATCAGCTCAGGTTACCATATGACATGAGCACAAGTTGAAATTTAATTAAAATAAATAACAAATTAGTCAAAATAATTTGACAACACCAACAGTCAGAAAGAATCAACATGGAGAATATGATTTTAAGACGGTGGAAAAAATCAGCAGCTCAGGTGGATGATTATGGTGATGTTTTGTTCTGTGAGCTGGGGATTTTTTGGTTGTGGAGCTTTCATTTTCCTCCTGATGAACAACAACATCATTAGCACAAACTTCAGATAGATGAAGTGTAGTATTCGAATTTCTCCATGTATGAGTTGCAACTTGTTCTATTAACCTAGATTTTGATTGGTGGGTGATACAATCAAAATAAAGGTGCAAACAACAACAGGTTTAAGGTCAATAACAACTAATGAAGGTCGAGGTTAACAAAACAATCGACGGGTCAAACGTGGAGAAATTTGATTAGTTCATCTCTATTTGAATTTAGTGCTGTTGATGTTGTTCAGTAGAAGAACAATGAAAGCTCCACAACCAAAATATTCAGTTCACAAAGCGAAATATCACCACACTATAACTTCAAAATAGTGTGAAATTATGTATATATCAGTACTGAGAATCACGATCTTGCTGAAGACAAACAGATAAATATATTCCAGTCGCTGTGATTGATTCTAAACGAATGTCACCGACAGCCTTCACAATCACCGATTACGGCTTTCATTCGAAAATTAATCAAGTACTTTGTATTTACTTAAGTAGCTCAGACTAACAGGTGAACAGGTGGTTGAGTAATTAAAGCATTCGACTTTCAACTAGTAAGTTCCAAGTTCAAGCACTATTCCACCTATTTCAGTTGGAGCATTCGGATAGTATAATCATTAGTCCTCATACTTAAAGTATGTTTTATGACATAAGTGTACCTGGTGAGTGAATTAACGATGACCAATAAATGGTAGTCAAAATTCAATCGTAATTAATCATCATGAGATATAACACTTAAATGAACAAATCATAAACAATTAAACAAATCTTATTATACAATGATAAACTGACAATCATAAATATTCACGAAATAACAGTTAATATTCTGACATTTTGATTTGAAAATGTCAATAAATAGAATGGAAATACAAGTTAATCCACAATGAGTCACATAAAATATAAGGATGAATTATTTTACTGTATATTCATAAAATGGACGTAACAGGGAGTGCAAATCACAGTTCGATAACATCTACAATCAAGCTATCTCTATACTAGCTGATTTGAGTTCGGTCAGTCAATTACAACGTAGAACTTCGTACGTACGTACGTACATCAAGTCCAAATCGCCATACCACATTAGTACAGATACGCAATTGTCAGTTAAAATCCCATAGTGGTAGCGATAGTAGAAGTATTAGCAATAATCGGAGAGATTAGGGTTCGAAGTTACTATTCAAGAAGTGTGATTCAGTGAGATAACTTTAGAAAGAGAAAGATAAAAGTGATGAGGACTTCAGAAGATTAGGATTTGAAGGAACACAAAGAATGAATGCACCTGCGCCATCGCAAACGGTTTTGAGCAATGTCATTCAACATCTTTAACCATCGATTACTATCATCTGGCCGAGCCCAACCAGGTAGTCGACACCTACCGACGTGACTCGATCCAGTTGTTAGCGACTTCATGGATTTGTGCCATGTAGAGCTGATTTGAGTTAGTTTGAAGAAAACTTTAAAACCAAATACATCGAGATTACTAGCAGTGATAAATAAATCAATTGACTATTACAGTATATGTGAGATATGAACACTCATCTCCGTTGGAAACATTATCGATGAATTATTCCAGTGAAGACTACTTTCCTCCTTTGGAGATGGACAATGTATACAAAATGGCAAGTAGATTATCACTAACAACATACTATATAACATTACACCCGATTTCAAGCAATCAATGAAATTGAAGTAGTGGAAAGAAAATTGTGATTGGTCATAGAGCATAGACAAATAAGCATAGTCTACTGACTATTAAACATGTGATTTTATTTCCTCTTATTGATTTCTACTCCAAACTCGTTGGGTGTGATTACCTACAATGGTGATGAATCGTGTGTCTAGTTTAACATGGTCTGTTATCTATGTAGAGAGTATCCGGATCCAGTGGTAGTGTGGTGTGTGCTACTTATACGAACGATATAAGTAGTATAAGAATGGACGTGAAAGAAGAAGTCTCACGGTCAGAAGAGGAAAACGGAAAGCAAATAGAGCAAAAACAAGAAATAAATAGAGCATCGACAGGAAGTAAAGGAAGCAACAGCAGGAATGGAAGAAGACTAGAGCGTTGGAAGTCAGGACTCAAAGATGGTGTGCAAATAGAGTGTTCAATGTGATGTTTTCGTTTTTAATTGAGTACGAGTGTAAATTTGCCAAATACAATCTATCAAGCCTGCCTCAGTCTTCTCAATTGGTGTCGCTGCCTCTACATAGGATGAAGATACCATGGCCTCGAGAGTTTGAAGACGGAGATGTAAGGAGCTTCTTGAAGGAGTTTGAGGCCGTAGCAGGGCTGGTCGGAGTCAAGGAACGGAGGGCGAAAGCGGTGGTGCTGGGAACTCTACTAAGAGGCAGGGCGAGAGCGGTGTACGACAGTGTGGAAGACGCTGACTGGAAGGTGGTGACGGAAAGGCTTCTGGCGGAGTTCCACAGCCCGGCGGATGGGCAGGACGCGCTGCAGAAGTTCCGAGAGGCGCGACTGTCGGTGGATGGCGACCCACTCGTGCTGGCCGTGGAGTTGACAAGATTGCTGCGCCGGGGTCTGCCAAATTCGGATGAGGAGTCGCAGACACAGCTGCTAGCCTCGCAATTCATTGAAAGTGTGCCTGCAGAGGTCGGCCAACAGTTGAGACTGGTGAACGCGGCACAACCAATGGACGTCACCGAGCTGGCGAAAGTAACAAGACAACTGATGAACTCAACAGTCGCCTCGGTGGCGTGTGAAAGACAGGCTGATGACGTCGTGAAGAAGATAGAAGAATTACAACGAGAGGTGGCAGCGTTACGAATAAAGAGTGAAAGAAATAATAAATGCTATATTTGCGGAGGAACCGGACATTGGAAGAGGAATTGCCCAACAAGACGAAAACGTAGACATTTTAGACCATATAAAAGGTGTTCTTTACGTCTTTCGAAACTGTGGGTCTAGGCAGTAGTAGATAAGGGGGCGGTCTATGCGAGAGTAGGGATAAACGAGCGAGAGGTAGTGTGCCTGATTGATACAGGGGCGGCAGTTTCGTTAATAGACAAAGAGCGGTGTAGAAGTATCAGGCCGAGTGCATTAGTTGTTAACACCATCGGAGGCCACGTGTTAAAAATCCTAGGAGTCTCAAATGATATCGTGAAAATCGGCAGTTCGGAAATACAGTTTCCCTTTGTAGTGACTACGAACTTGTCGAGACCAATATTAGGAGCAGATTTCTTGAGAGAAGTAGGAGCAATTATTGATACAAGAAGTAAGAAGGTGATTACAAAGTACGGCACACTGACAATACATGAAAGCAGCGAGGTGGCTGAGGTTAGAGTAGCAAAAGAGGACATTGGAAAGAAACAGAACATTAACGAGGTGCTAACGAAATATACGAAGTTGTTCACGGGAGACGGAGAACCGTACGGGTTTTGTAATAAAGTCAAACATGAAATTCCGATAAAGAGCGAAGCAGTAACCATCTTCACAACACGACGGGTTCCCGTACATTTGGAAGCTGAGATAAACCAGCAGGTACAGGAGATGTTAAAAGCAGGTATAATTGAAGAAGCAGATAGCCCGTACAGCTCACCGGTACTTTTGGTAAAGAAGCCAAATGGAAAGTATAGATTCTGTGTTGACTTTAGAGAACTGAATAACGTGACAGAAATAAAACCATGTGCAATGCCAACAATAGCGGAGACATTAGATCGTCTACAGAGTGCTACGGTGTTCACAGTGTTAGATTTACGGTCGGGCTATTGGCAGCTACCAATAAAAGACAGTGATCGCAGCAAAACGGCATTTATCGTACGGGAGAAGCAGTATCAATTTAAACGAATGCCCTTTGGATTGGCGGGTGCACCGTTTACGTTTCGAAGATTATTGACATTGCTGCTCAGAAACCTGGAGAATGTCGAGGTTTATGGCGATGATTTGGTCGTATATAGTCGTACAGAGGCAGAACATGTGAGTCATGTGGAGGCGGTCCTAAGGCGAATTGATGAGTTTGGTTTATGAATTAACAAAGACAAGTCTCAGCTAGCGAAAAGCAGCGTCACGTTGCTGGGGCATAAAGTAGGCAATGGAGAAATAAAACCACTGCCGGAGAAGATTCTAACGATAAAGAATATTGCAGTTCCCAACTCAAAAAGGAAGTTAAGACAGTTCCTGGGAAGAGCGGCGTTCTACACCAGATTCGTGAAGAACTTCAACGATATAGCAGCACCTCTATATAAAGTTCTAAGCAATGCGAAGTTTACGTGGACAGAGACCGCTCAACAAACTTTCGACCGAATCAAAGAACTGTTAGATGACCGCCAAATGACGCTGAGACTGCCGGAACCCGAGAAGCCATTTACAGTGACCACTGATGCGAGCGATCACGGTATAGGTGCGGTCTTGGGGCAGTCTGACAGAGTGGTGGAGTACGCCAGCCGTGTCCTTACGCCGACAGAACAGAAGTATTCCACAGTAGAAAAAGAGTGTTTAGCGATTGTATGGGCGGTAGACAAATGGAGACCGTATCTACTGGGTCGGCGATTTCACATCGAGACGGATCATAAGCCCCTACAATGGTTGAAAACAGCAAAAGACCCTCGGGGGAAGTTGGCTCGATGGATGCTACGTCTGCAGGAGTATGATTTTAGCATCGGGCATGTGCCAGGGGAGGAAAATGTAATGGCAGATTATTTGTCAAGACCGGACACCGAAGCCGAACTTCCAGAGATAGCGTGTGCAGTTAACGGCCTAGAGAGAGATCCCCTAGAAGTCGTCCGACATCAGAAAGCCGACCCTAACCTTCGGGAGGTAATCAGAATGATAAAAGAAGGAGATGTCGACAAGAGTGGAACAGACAAAGAATTAACAGTGTTGCTGAGGCAGAAGGAGAGACTGAGAGTGAACGGATACGGAGCCTTGACCTGGCGGGATGATGACGAGAATTGGGTAGCAATAATCCCAAAAGATCTGCGCCAGGAGATGATTCGTGAATGTCACCAGGTAGCGCACACAGGTATTGCACGGACAACTGATTTGCTGCGGCAAAGTGCGTACTGGCCAGGCATGAGAGACGATGTTGCACGATATGTATTAGCGTGCCAGCGATGTCAACTGATGAAAGGGGATCGATGCATACGACCGCCATTGCAGTCAATTCCAGTAACAGCAGTTGGTGATTTGTGGTCAGTAGATGTTATGGGACCGTTCCCGCAGACGACAAGTGGTAACCAGTACCTGCTGGTGATGACTGAGCATGCCACACGATGGGTAAATGCCGTGCCGATGGCGGACCAACGTGCAAGGACGGTGACGGAAGCGGTAATGCGGCATATTGTGGCGGACCATGGGATACCAAAGATAATATTAACCGATCAAGGTCCCTGTTTCGAGAGTGATGAGTTCAAGTCCAGTCTAAAGCAGTTAGGTATCAAGAGAGTACGAACAACGCCGTATCATCCACAGACGAATGGGTTAAAGGAAAGGAATAACCGAACGCTAAAGGAATGGCTAGCATCTAAAGGGGGTGACTGGGAGAAAGAATTACCATTAATCTTACTGGCACATCGTGCCTCGGCACAGGGAACAACCAGGAAGTCACCGTTCCAGCTGATGTATGGCAGACGGCCGAGACTACCAACGCATGATAAAACCTGGCCGCAACAACAGAGATGGAATACAACAAGATTGAGAACAGAGCGGAGACAAGCAATCAGGAATGTGAGAGAGAAACAAACATCAGACATGGAGAAGTCAGAACAGGAGAGAAAGAACTGGAGACCGTTTGAAGTGGGAGACCAAGTGAAGTGTAGAGAACGGAAATATACCACAGGAAGAGGGCCAGGGTCAGGTAAGCTTATCTCGAAGTGGGAGGGACCGTTCGTCGTCACCGAGAGGCGCGGCGCAGTGTATACAATCCAGAAAGGAAACAAACAGAAACGCGTGAATGCCAGTGAACTCCAAAGGTGGTTCCAAGTGCGCCAAGAGGGCGAGCCACAAACACTGATAAAGAAGACGGCTGTACGGAGATCAGAAAGGCTGAGAGAGCGACTTGTTAAAGGGGGGACGAGTGTGGTGTGTGCTACTTATACGAACGATATAAGTAGTATAAGAATGGACGTGAAAGAAGAAGTCTCACGGTCAGAAGAGGAAAACGGAAAGCAAATAGAGCAAAAACAAGAAATAAATAGAGCATCGACAGGAAGTAAAGGAAGCAACAGCAGGAATGGAAGAAGACTAGAGCGTTGGAAGTCAGGACTCAAAGATGGTGTGCAAATAGAGTGTTCAATGTGATGTTTTCGTTTTTAATTGACTAAGAGTGTAAATTTCCCAAATACAATCTATCGAGCCTGCCTCAGTCTTCTCAGTGGTACTAACTCGGTAATTCATTTAGTTACTGCAAAGGATAAAGAATATTTCAAGAAACTACCTATTATGTCAAAAAAATCGATTTCTTCTTTCTTTCAATCAACTCTATTTTAAACCAATTGACAATAAAATGTTTCGTCATCAAAAATATTAATCATATAATATCAAATATAATAAGTTCAGATTATTGAATACAATTTACCAAACAGTGCCAGCTTGTAAACGTTGCATTACATGCATAGCTTTTTCTAAATTATTGGTAAATATACCAGCTGCTAAACCATAATGTGTATGATTTGCTCGATCAATCAATTCATTTAATGATCGAAACTTCATAATTTGCATTACAGGTCCAAATATCTACAACAACAACAACAACAACAACAGGAATGAATCTAGATTAACTATCGAAATCATGAATGAATGATTGTTAGACCATCACTGACAACCTGGAAGCACTGGATGGCCGTTTCGTCCCATTATGGGTCTCATCAGTGGCAGTGCGCATCTATGACTCCTGCTACTCACAGGAATAGAACCCTGGGCCGTCGGTTTTGCGTGCAAACACTTAGCCTCTGGATCTGGGGTTCGATTCCTGTGAGTAGCAGGATACACACTACTGACAAGCCACATACCGGGACGAGACAGCCTCCCAGTACCTCCAGGTTTCTAATGGTGGTCTAACAATCATTCATTCATAATTTCAATGTAAAACAATGATTTCTATAATAATATGATGAAAAAAAAATAACTAACTGTTGTTACAGATGACTACTGCATTAACAATCATTTCACCCTTATTATTATAAATTGTGTTTAGATTTTATTGATCACTTTGTACTATATAATGTTTATTCACGTACCTTATTTTTCAGAATATTAAAGATGACCTGAAATTTAAGTCTTTTCTCTCTTATTTGTTGTGTATGAATCGACGATGTTTATGTACTATTGTGTATTGATGAGTGTAATCGATATTATTCACATAGATTTCACTTTGTACTAGGAGAATCTCTTAATTGTTTGTAATTTTGAATAAAGAAAAAGCATTCCTCAAACGACCGTGTAAACTGATTGATTTCTACTAACGTAAAGATCTCAAGCTACCTAATTTTTTGTAACAAAGGACAGTTCTAACTGGCAAGGATAAATATGATACTATTTTCAATGTTGAACTATTGATCAAACCTTTGTTATTGTATTTTATTATTCTTACTACTATCAGTAGAACCTGTCTTCTTATTGTCAACTCGTTCACTTACGTATCTTGTCGATGACGATGGAATAGAAAGTAACAATACTGTTCAACTAAATGTGTTGTTCTATTTTTATTTTTATTGAATTTACAACAAAAAACTAAATAGTGGATAATTACAGTAACAATATATACTACTACTAATACTACATACTACTATCAGCACACCTGTCTTCTTACTATCAACTTGTACTTTTGCCGATTATGTGTAGTGACGTAATCTATTTCATTTCATTGTGATTATTGACTTATATTGTTTTGATTGCTTTAACATATTCACGTATTATTAGAGAGTCAAAACTGATGACGATCTAATCTAAAACAGCAATATTGTTCGCTTATATCTGTGTTATTCTAATTTTCACAATGAGAATCTTTAATATGCATAAAAGTTATTCTTATAATCATTTAGCTTAGTAGTTTCAAATAGTCAAACAATAATTGGTGATATCCTTTTATTAAATGGAAATCAATCAGTTTTTGATCAACTGAATTCAATGCAAGGGTTCAGTGTATAGAATAAATTGATTACCATTGAAAAAAGTGAAGTGTCTGTTTATATCAATGAACTCAATCAAGATCGAAGTTAATCGAACAAGCTACAGGTCAAACGTGCAGAAATTGGAATACTTCACTTCTTCTATCTGAAATTTGTGCTGATGATGTTATTCAGTGAAAAAACAATGTAACCTCCACAACCAAAACATCCAGTTCAGAGAACGACACACCACTACAACTCAACGTATAGCTAGCTGTCATGAATACTCTACACTGAAAATAATATTCAACAGCTATTCATGAATTTCAAGTGTTCAATGATTATTAAACTGATATTATATATTTCGTAATAGAAAAATTGTCTCTCAATCCGAATGAGTATTTAGTTAATTTTTTTTATTCACTGGCTTATTTCAATCCATTGTAATGATATTTATCAATGATTTATAAGATAGTTTAGTGGATAGTTCAACTATTTAACAATAAAGTGTAGTAGTGTACATAGAAATGAGATTCTAATTTTAGAGTATGATAGTCAGTCAGTAAGTCAGTCAACTACAATGTAGAACTTCGTACGTATGTACATTCGTTCAAGTTGGCATACCACACTAACAAACGGAGATCGAATTGTCAATTCGATTCCGGTAGAAGTAGACGTAGTAGAAGTATTAAAGGTAATGGAAAAGGATTAGAATTTGAAGATATCATTCGAGAAGTATGTCCCAGTGAAACAAATTCAAAAAGTAAAAAGAAACCATCAGAAGAATATCATTTGAAAGAAGACAAAGATAGGATGCATCTGTGTCATTGCAAACGGTTTTGAGCCAGATCATTCAAAATCTTTAGCCATTGGTTACTACCATCTCACAGACCCTAACCAAGTAGTCTACACCTATGAACCTGACCTAGTCCACTACTTGTCAGTGACTTCATGGATTTGTGCCACGTTTTTTTTCATTTGATCGCCCGTAGCTTTCTTCAAGCCTACCCCCTACACCAGGCATTAGAGTATGATAATCATAGAGCCGTTGAAAAATACAATATCACTAAACAATATGAAATGCTTTTAGCATTATAATAATTTAACCAGAATCCAAATAAAAGAAACCATGAAAAATGTTATTGTCTATAAGTATATAGAATTAATATTGTCAACTACAAATATCCCTTGAGTGTACATTTCACAAATTCGCTAAAAAAAAAGATAAGTAAAAGCATTATCGATTTAAATATTATTCAGATAATGTTGTCTGATTATTTTTGCGAAATGAAAACTGCATTTTGTGAAATCATAAAGTGTATACATACATACATACACAGACGAAATTCTGTATGGACAATTTCATTAATAAATTCATTCCAGTAATTATGAGTGTGTATGTATCAGTCTAATTTAGAAAAAAATATATTTAGTCAAAGTCTGATGCTATAAAATAAAATCTTGATCATATATTTAGTTCGCCAAAAATAACAACGACTACAACAAACAATAAGGAAGAAGATACCCATCGGCAATCAAAAAAAAAATGAGTTAGTCTTAAAAACATTAGCATCTCAAAATAATTCAGTGAATTTACAAAGTTTTTTTTTTGAAATCATCAGTCGATATCAATGTTGGACTACTATTAGGAAACGGGCTAAGAGATTAGCGACTACACCTCTGTAGAAAACTAACTCGTTCGAAAGAAAAGAAAAAACAGTAACCACAAGATTTAATTCTGCATCTAATTCATTCCAGATAATCATCAATCAATCAATCGATCAATCATTGTTAGACCACCATTAGAAACCTGGAAGCACTGGACGGCCGCTTCGTCCTGGTATGGGACTCATCAGTGGCAGTGCGCATCCACGACTCCTGCTCTTCGCAGAATTCGAACCCGGGATCTTCGGCATTGTAGGCGAACGCCTTACCATCGGACCACTGGGCCGGCGTCAGGCAGTGTTAATTTCTAACTCTGATTGCATGATAAAATGACTTACTTCTTCACGAGCAATGCGCATTTCATCTTGAACATCAGCAAAAACCGTAGGATGAATGAAATAACCATCTGATCCAAACTGTTTACCTCCGGCACATAATTTAGCACCTTCTTTCTTACCAGATTCAATGTACGACATAACTGTTTGAAATTGATGTTCATCAACTTGTGGACCCTGAATGAATAAACGGCTGTATTAGTATGAAAGCGAAGGTACAACATTAACATATATTGATTGTTAAAAGTTGGGATATAAACCAAAGGTTTTTAATTAAAAGAAATCAAGTATAGCCAAACACCTTGGTAGTTTTCATTAAAAATATTAAAAACGTAGAACCTCGTATGTACGTACGTCAGTTTAGTTTGCCATACCGCATTAGCACACAGACGCAATTGTCAATTCAAATCCCATAGTGGTAGAGATAGGAGAAGTATTAGTGGTAATGGAGAAGACTGGGGTTCGAAGATATTATTCAAGAATAAGACAGTGAGATAACTTTAGAAAGAGAAAAATAGAGGTGATGACAAATTCAGCAGATTAAGATTTCATAGAACACAACGAGTGGATGCACCTGCGACATTACAAACGATTTTGAGTCATGTCATTCAAGATCTCTAACCATCGGTGACATACGTCTCGCGGACCCCAACTAGGTAATCAACAACTACTAGCATGACTCAGTCCACTTGTTAGTGACTTCATGGATTTGTGCCATGTTTTGGTTTGGCCGCGCTTAGTTCTTTTCTACCCCTAATTCGCAAAACATAGCTCGACGAGGCAGTCACCAGGCGGGCATTTCTAACACATGTCCCAACCACCTCAACTGATGAAGTTTCACTACTTCATCTATTGATCTGCCATCCTTACCTAGTACCCGTTTTCTAACAACTGTATCGAAAGTCCCAAGATCAAAAACATCTAAATGCTATTATACCGGATTTATTATAAGCGTCACTTTATAAATGTAGTGGTAACATATTGAATACTTACACTAGATGATGTAGGAGAGAATTCACAAACTTACTTACTTACACCTGTTACCCCCAATGGAGCATAAGCCACCGACCAGTACTGTCCAACCTACTGATGAATGCTGAGTTCCTAGAATCCACAAAGAACTACTTTAATTACAGTCAAAGACATCTAAATGCTAGTATAACTGTTCATTTGATTAGAATGTTGATTTCTATAATTTAGTGACCATTGTAACTTTTATTATTATGTAATTTAGTCACTATGAGATCATTCATTACTCAATCAACGTTTAACCTATTTAGAAGATATTTCAATCACATTGAGATTATACATACAGAATATTCTGTTCAGTTCTGTACAGTTTCATTAAACAATATAAACAAATGATTACAAATCATTCATTGTACTTACTTGTGTTGTATTTAAATCGAAAGGATTACCAACAATACGTTTTTTAGCTTCTTCACTGCTATATTCAACAAACTTATCATAGATTGATTCTTCAACAAATATACGAGAACTTGCACAACAACATTGGCCTTGATTGAAAAATAAGCCAAAATGTGAAGTAGCTATGGCTCGATCAACTGTGATTTAAGAGAAAAAAAAATGTAGGAAACAAATATTCATTTAGATTGTATAAAGACAATTATTGAAGAGTTTGATATAAATAGAATCTTATTCAGAATAGAAAGATAGTGGCTAACGATAGATAGATAGTGTAGGATGTGTATTTAGTCTTGTGCAGAATTCATCAGTTGAATGCACCTGTCACATCCTAGTGCTGATATTCAAATATTGAAACTTCAGCTTAGTATTTCGCTTTAAACGCCTGATACATTTTCCACTCATCTATTTAGTTCGGACACTCACTAATTTACTCAATAAGTATGTTGTTTACATAATTAGTAGTAGGAGTTTGAGTATGAACATAAATACTAAGTGTAGATATATTCAGATGACGAGTATTGAACAGGATGAAACATGCATCCTACATTCCGTTTTTACTCATAATCAATTTATCCTCAATAAATTTTGATATAATGGCTATATCGAAGCAGTCAGCCTGGATGAATATATATGCGCTAACCGAGACTGGTTGAAATTCAGTCAATCGGTAATATGAACCTTATGGGTATAAATGGATGGTGGCTAGTAGTGAAATTCAGAAAGCGCATTTCATCCTATTCAGGACTCGTCAGCTGGGTATACCTGCATTCGAGGTGATATTCACTCCCGGACTCGAACCCCGTACCATTCGTTCTAAACATCATTGAGCTATCGAACTGGCCACTGAAAAAGACTGATTGGTCGCAGTCCTAAACATTAACAAGAAGATTCAAATAGTCAATACAAGTGAATTTTACACAGGATAACTCAAAACCTTACTGGTAATAATGATATGAACTCTTAGGCTTTATGGAATTCGTACAGCAGTCGACTGCTTATCTAAATGATTGTAATCATAGACCAGTCAGTTTTAGGTTTTTTCCAACTAGTTTTATCACTTCAAAATTCAAGTTATTTGAAAATAAAATAAGTTTGTGAAACATGACCAAGAGAGTCAATTTTGATTTTCGCGGAATAAATGAATTTGTTTGAGCGAGTGTCGAAATGGAGCAATTTTAAAATTTTTCTCATACACTCGATAATATAGATAATTGACTGACAAACTAGGAGAACTTGACTTTCGTTTGATTAAACAGAATACTCAACAGAAAACATGACTGGATGCTAGACATCGGGTCACGTGAGCTTCAAAGCACAAGATCTAACTGAGGATTGGAAATCAAATAACAGATCAGGACGGTTTTATCGATATATATATTACAAATCAGTCACGCAGTATAAAATCCGAATAGAATTATAGTGAAGAAGATTCTTTACATATAACAACAGTGAAGGCTGTAAGCGACTAACTTCATTCGATAACTAATCCTGATCGAAACTAGGCCGTCTTTTACCTAAGACATCAATCTACAGTTCCGAAATGGAATCGTCAGATTTGAGGCAAGAGGATACCAAAGGTTGATTACTAAATTATGTTTGACATTTAAAATTTCGCGTTTCAAGCCTTTCAGCATATCGATAACCATCATAATAGCAACTTTGGATCTTAAAATCGAAAAACAATCAGTAGTGTATAAAACTGTTCTAATTATCGGTTAACATGAGCAAAAATCTCTTAAAGATACGCTTCAATCGTATTGTATCATGCTTTATAATCACAGAATTCAACTTCGTCATTTTATACAATTTTTAGCAACTGAGATAGTGAAGCAGTTGACAAAACAAACTATAGCAATAAACAAATCAAGATCAACAAAGTGGAAAAAAGATTGAAAAAAGGAAAATAATCAACTGTTCAGCGGTAGACAGACAGACAGATAGAAACAACGTAGAACTTCGAAAGTACGTACATCAGTTCAGGTGACCATACCACATTAGCACAGTGACGCAACTGACAGTTCAAATCCCATAGTGGTCGCGATAGTAGAAGTAATAGCAGTAATGGAGAAGATTAGCGAAGATATGATTCAAAAAGTATAATTCAGTGAGATAAATCAAGAAGGAGAAAGAGAGAATATGAGGGATTCAGGTTAGAATTAAAAAGCAGACAAAGAGTGGATGCACTTGAGCCATTGCAAACGATTCTGAGCCATGTCGTTCAAGGTCTCTAACCATTGGTGACTTTCGTCTCGCGGACCCCAACCATACAGTCTACATCTAGCAACATGACTCAGTCCAATTGTCAGTGACTTCATGGATTTCTGCCATGTTTTGGTTTGGCCGCCCCTAACTTTCTTCAAACCTACTCCTACACCACGAAACATAGCTCGTCGTGGCAGTCGGTGGTTAGGCATACGTGACACGTCCCAACCACCTCAACTGATGAAGTTTCACCACTTCATCTATTGATTTGCCATCCTTACCTAGAACTCGTTTCCTAACGACAGCATTGCTTACTCGGTCGTCCCAGGATTCACGAGTAATGCTTCAGATACACCTATGATCGAAGACTAGTAACCTACAAATGTCCTCTACTCTTAACGGCCATGTTTCGCATCCGTGTAGTATGACAGAGCGAACTGCTACGCAGTACAGCGGTATGGTCCCGTCGACTAATTTTATTGTTTGCTAAATGATATGTTGACCAAATGATGTGCTTGAACTATTTCGGATTCACTTTACTCGGTAAACGGAACGAAGATCAATGATTCAGCAAGACGATAGGCTAATTCTAATCCGATCTTTCAAGGTTCCACTAACTAGAGGAAGAAGTCTTAATAAGACGTAGAGTGTATTCTACAGGCAACCAGAAAGTACGTGATCAACGAGCACACAACTCAGGCTTATTTATACAATAATAAAACGCTCTTGGTGGGAGCCAAAAAATAATGTACTAAAATATTACATCAACCAATAACAGTCAAAGATTTCCGAGTGGGAAATGCAAGCTCAAGGTCAAAATGAGCGTCTTTGGCGCGAAAACATAAAATTCAAAATTTCAGTAATAAAATTACAAAATTAGGACATTTATCAGGTGAGTTCTGGGGATCTAACGCCCCCAACACTAAAAAACTCTCCCTTCAAAAAACAAATAACAATAACGCCTACCTAGTAACCTATTCCCAACCCAGGCATTGCTCACTTGAGGGTTCCGAAATACATGATAAATGCTTCGAAGACACATCTACAATCGTATACCGGTGGTAACTTGAGAAAACTGTTCAACATTTTTTTAGTTCGTTTTAGAACTTAAACCAATGACAAGAAAATATCTTCAACTGGAAAATTACAAACTAATGTACACTAAAAAAATTGTACAAAATCCATGTTTCAAACAAATGTCAAAAACAATCTTCAACTACTATTTTACAATTACTACTTACAATCACCATCACTGAAAATAATTAGCGGACTTTTTCCACCAAGTTCTAATGTGATCCGTTTCACACCGTGTTTGTAAACATTTTGACCAATCAATTGTCCTACAGTTGTTGAACCGGTAAATGCAATTTTATCAACATCAGGATGAACAACTAGAGCATGACCAGCAGTTTCACCGAATCTAAGTAAAAATTATCATCAGGAAAAAAAAACATTTGATCACAGCTATAAAATCAATAATATACATGAAGAGTAACAATTGACAAAGAAAGTAACTCAATCAAACTGAGTTATAATTACTGGATGTAGATGAAACATTTGATTTCTATTATTTAGAGCAGTAAGTAGTAAAAAGACATGAGAGAAAATGTTTAAGTGTAAAAAAGTGTACAGTTGTCATAGTTTGCACTCACTTCTGGAAATGATTGAGCTTTAATCTATGAAACCATATACAGAAGTCAATGTTTGTGCACATTTATATACATTTATACGCTCGAAAATTTTTTACACATACATAACAGTCATCCATGCTTAATCAATTAATCAATCAACAGCAACGTAGGACTTCGTGAGTACGTACATCAGTTCATGTTGCCATACCACATTAGCATAGAGATGTAATTGTCAATTCAAATCCCATAGTAGTAGAGGGAGTAAAGGTATTAGCAGTAATCGGAGAGATTAGGGTTCGAAAATATTATTCAAGAAGTAGAATCTGGTGAAATAAACTGAAAAAGTAGAAGATAAGGGCGATGAAGAATTCATAAGAATAGAATTTGAGAGAACACAAAGGATGAATGCCCCTGCGCTCTATTGCAAATGGTTTTGAGCCATGTTATTCACGTTGTCTCTAACCATCGATTACTATAATCTGGCGGACCGCAACTAGGTAGTCGACACGTACCAACATGACTTTTCAGTGACTTTATGGATTTGTGCCATGTTTTGGTTTGTCCACCTCTAGTTCTTTTCTTCCAACCTATTCCTACATCGCAAAACATAGCTTGATGGGGCAGTTCGGTGGTTAGGCATACGTAACACATATCCCACCCACCTCAACTGATGAAGTTTCAGTATATTATCTATTGATCTGCCATCCTTACCTTTTCATGCATAGCTATCATCACTCGGATACCATTTAACAATGATAAATTCCTCGGCAACTTTGTTCACTGGACGCAAAGTAAGTACAGGTGTAGTGAAGGAGAACTCAGGTGAGGACAACCGAATTGTATTTAACGGAAATTACAGAGTTACTCAGTAAAATAGCAAAACCATATCGTAACCGTTAATTTGCAAATCTTCAATCCATTGTCACTATTCATGCGTTTCATACGAATTCCATTGTGTTCCCACTCTTCCTTTCTTGATCTTCCCCCATCTTCTGCTGCCAGACATTACGTTTACACTCGCATCATATACTACTTATAAGTAGCGCACACCACACAGGGACTTTTAGAGATTAATATCATTTTTTCTACGTTATAAGCAACTGATGAGAAACAATGAACTATAAATGGATCCATGTCATTCTACTACGTAGGTTATTTTACTTTATTCAAATGAATCAGTGTTGGGTATTACAGTGCAACTTTTATCAGGGATTTCATCTAAAGCTCCAACTTTCATTATATTCGTGCTTTTCATCCCATAAATTGGGTTGTGACATACTGATGTCTCTGTAGAACTTTGTTATACATAACTTCAGATGTATGAGATGACATTTTTCATGGAAATTACACTGCAATCTATAACATTCACCCATTTATTAATAAACGGAAGTGGTGAGAAAGGCTCGACTTAACATTTCATTGAACAATGAATACATGATGAATGATTTAAGTTAAAATTAAATAAACAATATTCACACTCAACGAAAATCTGTTAAAAACTCATACAATTTACACGGAATTAATAAATTTAATTCATCAAATTTAATAAGTGACAATCACCTTAAATCGATATACATATATGTTAAGGTTCATTAGGCATTACAACATAGTAGGTCGCAATTTTATTTTAGATATACGGCTAAGCTTTCCCATGCCTTTGCATTGGTGTTAATTTATTCTGCGTGATTTTATGTTTAAACAACATTTGTTCATTATTAACAAAGATGAATGATGACCAATAGTAGAGGAATATTTCATGCATGCATCTTATAACTGTCTTCGAAGGATTGCTCGTATATTCTGGGACAAACGAGTAAGTAATACAGTTGTTAGGAAACAGGCACTGGGTAAGGATAGCAGATCAATAGATGAAGTTATGAAACTTCATCAGTTGAGGTGGGTGGGATATGTGTTACGTATGCCTAACCACAGACTGACTCGTTGAGCTATGTTTTGCGTTGTACGAATAGGTTGGATGAAAGTTAGGGGCGGACAAACCAAAGCATGGCACTGTTACGAACGCACGTCACCACGTTATTGGATATGTTTTAACAACTACGAGTTCACCTTAGACAGTAAACAAGAGCGAGGATCGATAGTCCGGCGACATGACAGGTAACTCTAATCCAAACATCCTAAACCCCCATTAAGTAGAAGAAGTCTTGATAAGAAGTACAACGTGTATTCTACCAGCACACAGAAAGTACGCGGTCCGAGTTCAGAAGAGGATAAGGATCACGGACGAAGGATTCGAGTGGTCAAACCTTACAGATAGTGCATATTTATACGAATAGGTCGAATAGGAAACAACATTTGAAGTATGTGAGATTGATAGTTAGGACGGCCAATAGGAATTAACCAAAGGAATTAGACTTACAAATAGTTCTCCTATGATATTGGATGAATATCCTTCTGAATTCCTCATCACCTTTATTTTTTTCTTTTTAAGTTTCTTTCACCAGATTCTACTTCTTGAATAGTAACTTCGAACCCTAATCTCTCCGATTACTGCTAATACGTCTACTACCTCTGCTACTATGGGATTTGAACTGACGATTGAGTCTCTGTGCTAATATGGTATGGTAACTTGAATTGATGTACGTATGCACATCAATTAGCGCTAAACGAGAAGATTAGGGTCGAAAGATATTATTCAAGAAGTATAATTCAGTGAGATAAGTTTAAAAAGAGAAAGATAGAGAGTACATGCATCTCAGAGTTCATTTGCACTCCTCAACTCGAACCCAGTACCACTTGACTTTAAAAAATACCATTACATTGTTATCTACTTAGCTACTGGCTTGTCCAATCGGGAATGATGGTTAATTCATTCCGATTGGCTGTTCGAATCTTTCTAATTGCAATTCTACACATATCACTGAGAAGAATCAAACAGCCAATTAAACAAAATTGTTCCAGTTTAGCAAAAATCTTATAATCAATAATCAACCAATTCAATCAGTCTATAATTTACTAAATGAACTAAATGTGATAAACTTTAATTCTTTCAACAAAAAAAACAGTACATTACCAATCATATAAATAACCGAATTCTAATAATCACTTTTAACTACAAAATATCACGTACACATAACTTTTAACAAAAAATATACATAAAAGCTAGTTAAATAGCATAAAAATAAGTATCATTAGGAAAATGTTTACAATAAAATGACATTTCAGTAACACCTTATTGATTAGCAGCGTATCAACTAGAGTAAAATGTTAACATTTCATATTTTCTAATGGTCAAAATCTATTGGCAATTTATGATAATTACAATGACACTTAAAAATTTCCATTACAATTATTTACTGCATTTTTAGATGAATTCTCAATAGAGTCGAACAATTTTTGGAATGTCAGAGAGTTGCGGCTTATATGAATGCCATTAGTAATGTTGTGTTATCTTGTAGTGAAGGAGAACACAGGTGGGGCAACCGAATTGTATTTAACGAAAATTACAGAGTTACTCAGAAAACCATATCGTAAATCGTTCATTTGCAAAATATCAGTTCATCATATCGAACTGGACTGTTCCTGTTGCCAAACATCAATCCATTGTCACTATTCATGCGTTTCATACAAATTCCATTGTGTTCTAACTCTTCCTTTCTTGATCTTCCGCCATCTTCTGCTGCCAGACATTACATTGACACTCACGTCATATACTAATTATAAGTAGCTCGCACCACAGCACCACAATCTGAGCCAAATGATGAAATCACGAAACTGCTTTCTAACTATTCTACAGATTATGGTTTCGAGCCAAAATTTCTGGAATTTCCTGCGTGCGGAGTGACGGATACGTAATGCTGAAGAGTGTCAGACTTGGACGAAACGGACGTCCAGTGCTTTTAGGTTTTTACTAGTTATATAACATTGAGTGAAGCTCAACAATTTTCAAAACCTAATACTAATACCAATGACTGGTTTCGACAGTAAATTCTGGGAATTCCAGTGAGAAGCCGCGACCAGCAAACTTCAATTGTGTCGGGCGTGATTCAGTTACTCAATAAAAACAATGGTGGATAGTCGCGTGATATTGTGGATTAGACATTAACAACGTCAAATGACCATATAGTGGTCATGCACTACTGAGGGATCCCATACTAGAACGAAGAGATCGTTCAATGCTCCCATGTTTTCAAGGTTGGTCTTACATTGGCAGGTTCATAATTTCAATGAAACTCAATGATCTTCACAAACCTATACTGATATTTCACAGGTGTTCTGATAACCTTGTTTGTGACTGATTATCATCGTACATTTCGTTTTCTTCAACAATTCTGACCATAAAAATAAGAAGTCAACCGAAAAAAAAACAGTCAACATAAATGCACGAACAAATAAAGATAAAAAAATCTATGAAATTGAAGCAATCACAATTGAAGCCTTCGAAACGAACTAATTTAACACTTGCCTTATAGTTGAAAATTTCACTTCTTTATGAATTACGAGTTGATGTTATTGTCCAGCTGTATAAAGAATGCTTCGCAATGAAACCATCTAGCTTAGAGAACAGAACACCAGTCAGTCAGTTACAACGTAGAACTTCGTACGTAAGTGCATCAGTTCATGTTACTATACCACATTAGCAAAGAGACGCAATTGTGAATTCAAAACCCAATAGTGGTAAAGATAGTAGAAGTATTACTAGTAATGGAGAAGATTAGGATTTGAGGATATTATTCAAGATGTATATATCAGTGACATAAGTTTAGAAAGATAAAGGTAGAGGTGTTGACGAATCCAGAAGATTAGGATTCGTGAGAACACAAAGAGTGGATGCACCTGCGCCATTGCAAACGATTTTGAGCCATGTCATTCAGGGTCTCTAACCATCGGTAACCTTCGTCTCGCGGACCCCAGCCACATAGCCTACATCTAGCAACATGACTCAGTCCACTTGTTAGTGACTTCATGGATTTCCACCATGTTTTGGTCTGGCCGACCCTCAGCTCCCTTCCAACCTACTCCTACACCACAAAACATAGCTCGTCGAGGCAGTCGGTGGTTAGCCATACGTAACACATGTCCCAACCACCTCAACTGATGAAGTTTCACCACTCCATCTATTGATTTGCCATCCTTACCTAGAACTCGTTTCCTAACGACAGCATTGCTTACTCGGTCGTCCCAGGATACACGAGCAATGCTTCGGACACACCTATGATCGAAGACTAGTAACCTACGAACATCTGCTCTTACCGGCCATGTTTCGAATCCATATAGTAAGACGGAGCGAACTACTGCGCAGTACACTCGTCCTCTAGTCAGAAAACGGGAAAGAGCACCGCCGAAAGCTATCAACCTATTTACATAAACGTCAATAATTAGGAAAAACTAAAAAAATCTATTGAGTCGTTGAATAGAAATGAAGAGAATTTCGATAAAATTTTCTTTTCTACGATAGCGTTTTTTGGCTGTGGTTGTCGGGAGTGGCATCGGCCTCGTAACTTCCGAAGGAACTCGGCTTTCATCATGAGATGCCATAACTCCTTTAAATGAAGACCTAAATGCTATGGCAGAGTTCGAATGGTTTGAATTATTTTTCTGGTAAGCGTTTTTTTCGCGAGTTAGTTTTCTACGGGATTCGATCGCTAACCCCATGCCCAACCCTCCCTCTTTATCTGAGCTTGGGATCGGCAGTATTTACAAAGGGGCTTCAGATGGAGTTTCGAATAAATTTGGCTATCATTAATAAATGTACAGAAAAACCTTTTTTTAAAATATAGAATACTACATGAAGGATTACCTATAAATACGATTATCTAACTCCAAGAATAGAGCTGATACTCAAAAACCCTTTCATAAAAAGGCCGTGCGTGACTGGCCTTAAGCAGTTGTCCCTTTGGCACTGAGGTCACACTCCCAGGTCTCTAAGACCGACACTAATCTACCTTCCTTTTTAGGTCCCTCAAGAAACACCCTTCCACGGTGTGGGCATCCGGGAAGTGACAACCGCCCACATAACCGTAACAGTACACGAGATCAAATTGGTCACAATCGAATCCTTCCTCCCCCCTTATCTTCACGACTGACTGACTGAGAGAATAGTTGGAGAAATCAAGTGAATCATCAAATTTAAAGTAACATTTCCTTACCCTGGAACAATGTTTACTACACCAGGTGGGAAACCGGCTTCTTTAATTAATTCAGCTACCCAATTAGCAGATAATGGAGTTTGTTCTGCTGTTTTCATAACCACTGTATTACCCATTGCTAATGCTGGACCAAGTTTCCATGCTTGCATAAGAAGTGGAAAATTCCATGGTATAATTTGTCCGCATACACCAACTGGTTCATGACATGTGAATGACATGTAATTTCCATTGATTGGTATAGTTTTACCATGATATTTTCCTGCCCAACCAGCATAATATCTATAAAAGAAAGAATGTTTGTTATTATTAAGTTGTAAAATATTGTTTTGTTTTTTTAACAATGAAAATCGAAATATTTTTGAAACCATGAATCGATCAATGTTAGACCACCATTAGAAACCTGGAAGCACTGGACGGCCGTTTCGTCCTGGTAAGGACTCCTTAGCAGTGCGCATCCACGACTCCTGCACCTCAGTGGTCTAGCGGTTGGGGCGTTCGCTCACAATACCGAAGGTTCTGGGTTCGAATCCTGCGGGATGCAGGAGTCGTGGATGCGCACTGCCACTGATGAGTCCCATACCAGGACGAAACGGCCGTCCAGTGCTTCCAGGTTTCTAATGGTGATCTAACATTGATCGATTCATGGTTTCAAAAATGTGTAACTTAACAATCTTCACAACCCCGTAAATGCAAAATCGAAATAGCCGATTTGAGACAACACTTTAAATAAGTATATCTTTTTGCTATTCAAGATAAAGAGGTGAAAATCTATTTCTGTGTGTTTACTACTGTTTTTTTTCTCGAAATATTTATCATGTAAACAAAACTGATATCTATCAGTAAAAGACAGAATAGAGTGGAGATCATATTAGTACAATTTTTTGTGTATTATTGTTTCTGGTCTAAGCATATAAGGAGTTTCTATAGCAAGTATTACTGGTTATATATATTTTTTTAATTGGTAAGAAAATTCTTAATTATAAGTAAATAAAACATGAACTCTGAAAACAAAAAAATCAGAAATATATTGTTGTCATATCTTTGTTCAAGATTGTAGTCAGAGTCCAGTTTAGTAACTTGAAATATATATATACATATATATTTGTATAGACAAAGAATAGAATTCCCAAATATCCTAGTACGGTTGAAGGTGGAATATGACTGGGCTTATATAGCCCTTGCTAAGGAATTCCAACTCACTACCTTCTCGTAGCGGAGTTGTTTACGAAACTGAAAGAAAAGCGAATGTTTGACTATGCCTTAAACCGGGTAAGTGGGTACAGAGAATCCACTTATGGAGGTGTTGGGAATTCCTGATTTTAAACCAGTAAAGCAAATGCGCTCAAGAACCCTGAAAGAACAAATCACATATGAAACTATTTCTAGTCGCAAACTATCATCGAACTGCATCTTCCAACGTTGTTCCAATACCTTGGCGATTATATATATATATATATCTGTGGATTGAAGCCTCGAGGAGTGACCCTCCCAGAAAACCATCTCAGCCTAAACACAAGTGCAATGATTTGTGCAGAACATAGATATTTTGATGTCTTTTTTGTATCAATTTTTGCGTTTTTAAATAAATTAAACAGACACTACATAATCTTTTGTTAAAATTAATTACAACACACAACAATTGTCCTCATCATGAAAATTAGTTTGCATGATATAGAATAGTACTATTATTATATCAGCAGTAAAAAAAATGCATTAAGTGGCTAAACTACACCTAATTAGACATGATCGTTAGATAGAAGATATCAAGTGAACTTTTTTTCTTTCAATGAACTAAAAAGTAATGAATGAAGAATTAAAAATGATCATGATATCAATGACTGATTAGATTAACTAACTATAACCAAAAAACAAAATTCATGATTTTCATAACTGACCAAAGTAGTAAAGAGAAAACATTATCAATGAAATATTTAGATTCTTTTGATTCTACACTAATTAATTAATACTAACTAATAATAGTAATATTTATAAGTTTAGTGGAATATGCAATTTTGAGCTAAAAAGAGAAGAACTATGAACAACATGCAAACAAGCAAAGTAAATGGAAGTAATCGAAAAATTCATGTATCTGGGTAGCTTTATACGTGCTGGTGGTGGCTTGAGTAGTGAGATCAATTCACGTATAGTGAAAGCCAGAGCGACTTACACCAATCTGGACTATCTTTGGTGCCTTTTTGATGTTAGTTTGGATGTGAAAGGTTGGGTCATCAATGCGTCAGTGAGAGCACTCTTGCTCTGTGATTGTGAAACTTGACCACTCCGAGTTAAGGATGTTAAACAACTACCAATGTCTCCGAAGGATGACTAACATTTGGTGGAAACACCATGTTAGTAATCCAGAGGTTCAGCAACGCGTTCGGGTATAGAGATGATAATTCATTTGGTATCACCATCTTAAACACCGAATGCAGTGGCTTCAACATGTAATACGACTGTCTTCCCAGCGAATGTCAGTGTGTATTATTTGCCAACGCAGAGACTGGTTGGAAAAAGCGGAGAGGTGATCAGTGTATGACGTGGTGTTGTGATATGAAAGAAAGCTGTACATTATTGGCATCTATTGGTCTTTCAATATTCGCTGGTTGGGGTCCTGAAGATGTTGCAACTCAGTGGTTTGAGACGTCATCAGATATGGCTCAGAATAGAACATGTTTAGATTCAGATTATGCTCTAGTGTGAGTGAGTACTTTTTTGCAACTTACTGAACACAGGAAAGACACTTCAAGAAAACCTCTTAGGGTTCTATCTAATGATAGCAAAGCCTACAGTATATTTCACGAACAACTAGAAAAACGGTTAGGCAGCCATATAAGTGATTTTCACCCTGAGGCAGCTTGGAACAATATCCGAAAGGCTGTGGAAACAGCAGGTAAACCATAAGATTGAGGAGAAGCCGTAGATCTGGGCAGCATCTACCGAACTGATAGACGCTCGTAAACCCATCCCACCTGGCTCTGAACACGATGAAGAGCAAAGTCATTTTAAGCACAGGCTGATAAAAAACCTGTGCAATGATTGCGAACAGTGGTGGCTAGCGAAAACAATGGTGATGAAAAAGGCAGCAATGATAGGTAACACTAGACGACGTTTTTTGATATATCAAGGAAACTGGTACTATGAATTCGACTGTTAGTGAAACTATCTCGGACAAAGATGAGCTTATTAGTCATTCTCAATCTAGGAGACTGGATCGATGAGCAGAACACTTTAGGTATCAGTTCAACTGGTTTTCAGACACACTTCGGTTGCCCACGATATCCAGTCAACCTGGATGGCGAATTGATGTGAGTTATCCGACTCTTAATGAAGTTGAAAATGTTTTTGTAAATCTAAAGTGAAGGAGAGCAGCAAGTTTTGACAGGCTTCCACCTGAGATTTTTAAGGATGGTTTTAGCAGTTTTAGAAGTTAGATTGACTGAGAACTTAGATAGAATCTCGGAACTGGATGTAATTCCATCTGACTGGTCTCAATCATTGATTGTCTCAGTCTATAAGAAAGGACAAATGTCCTCTTGTGACAGTCACAGAGGAATCAGTTTGACTAATATAGCTTCAGTGATACTTCGACACCTAACTAAGGCTCATTAGGAGAAGACTCGGAAAAACCAGGCTGGTTATTGACCTAGATCTGAATGGATAAACCAGACATTCACACTTCAACAACTCCTAGAACATAGACACACGTTCAGACGTCCCACAATAGTAGTATTATTCAACCGTAAGGTAGCACTTGACGGTATTGATTGTGAGGTTCTGTGGCAGTGTCTGTCGTTAAAAGGTGTGCCGAACAAGTACATTAACCTTATGCAAGCTCTCTACTCGAACACTACAGGTAGAGTGAGGACTTATGGTGAGCTGTCATCAGGATTCTTTACTTCAAGCGGTGTCCGTCAGGGATATCCACTTTCTACATTCTTGTTTAATTTTGTCATAGACATGCTTTTAGAGATAACACTATCTTCATCTGAATTTTCAGGAGTTGAACTTGTTGACTTAGAATAAGCAGATGACATAGTTCTACTTAGTGAAGACGCTGACAAAATGCAGTCTTCTGAACACCTTGAGCAACAATTAAAGCATGTCTGGGATGCGATTTTCCCTGGATTATATTCCTTGAATAACATCTTCAAACCTTAATCTTCCTGATTACTGCTCATATTTCTACTACCTCTACCATTATAAGATTTGAATCGACAATAGCATCTCTGTGCTATCCTGGTATGAGAACTTGAACTGATATACGTACCTACGAAGTTATACATTATTGCTGACCAGCTGATTGGCTGAAACTATACAAAAAATCAAAACTATGGTACAGACATTCACATTAAAAAAAAACTATTTACAAAATGAAACGTATTTTAATCACTGACCTGTAGCATTTGATCACTAAATCTAGATCAATATGAAATGAATCAGTAAATGGTTTTCCATTATCCAATGTTTCCAGAGACTAAAACAATATATAAAGTGAATATTCAAAAGTAAACTAATGTGATGGATATGAATTTATAAAATAAGAAATTAACCAACTACTGAAAAGGCATATCTATACATTTCAACCAACATATATGGACTTAGTGTCAAAGTTCATCAGTTTACATTTACACACCGAAATAGCATGGAAAGAAAATGAACAGCATAAAAAAAAAACACTGACTAACAAGCAAAAAGCCTATGTTTTATCAGATTTTATGCATCTAAGAGCTTGCTCAGTGTCATAAACAGTTATCATTAGTAAACTATGTTAATAAACAAAATGAACATAATGAAATCAAAATGTCTCATATAGAACACGTGAAATCGATAAAATCAAAGGTGATTAAAAAGATAGGCTCTAAAAGAATTAACAGCTCTTCTTTAGTTTCAACAAGTCATGGCATCTACGATCTTTAATCACCTCTTTATATACTAAGAGGTAGTAAGAAAATATCTCATCGCATATGGTGTAAAACACTAAATTGCTTCGCTTGCTTATCGATTAACTTTTGGATTATATGATTCTTCACAAAACTAATTAGCAAGCTATTAAAAAAAGAAACATTTAATGCACTGTTCTATGAATAAAAATTGTTAATAAACAACAGTGTGGCATTTTAGAACTGTAGCTCATTAACTATTCATAGATTCGTGAGGAAAATTATGAGCAGCATGTATATACATTTTGGTAGATTTGAAAGTTTGAGATTTAGAAACAAAAATCGATTAGTTCCAACTTCATCCAAGTGTATGAAGTAACATGAAAAGGTATTGTCAAATGTACAAATAACTTACAGCCAAATAAACTCTATCACGTTCAATAAGATCAGCCAGTTTGTTGAGCAGTACACCACGATATGATGCATCCATGGTACGCCATTCGGAACCGAATTCGAATGCTTTACGAGCTGCTTTAACTGCTCTATCTATGTCAACCTTTAATAAGGATGATAAGTAGAAAAGTATAAGTTTGGTGATTGGAAGTAAAAGTATGATCACCACCTGTAATATTGACATTAGTGTTTTTGTAAATGTTTGGTTAACTAAAACTTAATTAAGGAGGACATTTTTTATATACTGGTAAAAAATTGGAGTCAAATCCATCATAATAAAACAAAACTGTTTAAGATAGTATATCTCAGACAGTTTAGAAATAAATTGCATATAATAATAGGCCTTTTTAATGGTAAAAAAAACTAAAAGCTTAAGGAAGTAGAAACTACTTACACCTTAATATTAACATGAGTGACTGGAAGTAATTTTAAAACCTACAAGTAGAAACTGGTCACCACAACCAAAAAATTTCAAGGGAAATAAATACATTACTGAGGCATCAAACAATTTTACGTCGTTTCGAGGGTTTAAGAAACACTGGGGTAAACCAATGAATCTAAATCTGAGAACTCGTTCAGTGTACTCCAAATTAAGGATTTATATTGAAAGAATTGAACATGAACATACGTTCAGGTTACTGAAATCTAATAAGTTACAATGTGGAGTTGGTATGAAAAACTTATTTTGTAAATAGTTTTTGATGCTATTTGTATTTATTCTGTTAATTTTTACAGCCTGTACACATTTACTATGAAATGTTTGTACATTTTGTTTCCAGTGTGTGTCATGGGATACCAGGCGCTTTGACTGCTGTACGTTTCCGTTCTGTTGTACACATAGCATGACACTCACTGTCTTTTCCTAACAAATACACTTTACATACATGCCTCATGTTCTCCATTGTTCATTAATGCGTTAACTGGATTCTAATACATATATTGTCTACATTTATAGACTGCAATCATGTGTGTACGCTATCCTAAGGATAGTTATACCGCTGGGATTATTAACATTTTTATAATGGTGGATTTTTGGTGCCAAACCCAACCGAACACGTAAGAGCAGCCGTGTATATGCCAGTTCAGCAGAAGTGTAACCGATGTCTTCCTTGATTGTTGAACGAATGCCGAGGAGTACAAGCGGTAGTGCATCGCTCCTTTTCGTTGTATCAGCTTGTGTCATCAGCGAGATTTTTAATTGGCGGTGAAATCTTTCGACCAGACCATTAGCTACTGGATGATAAGCTGTGGTTTCGATATGGTTTACTCCCAGTAGTTTAGTGAATTCCTGAAATAGGGCGGACTGGAACTGGGGACCACGGTCTGTAGTAATAATCGAGGGTACTCCGTAATTTGCTATCCAGCGATCAAGGAAAATCGCTGCTACAGTTTCTGCGGAGGTATCTGCAATGGGACATGCTGTCAACCATCGTGTGAATCTGTCTACCGCGGTGAGAATATGAGTGAAAGAGTTCGATGGTGGCAACGGACCAACGATGTCTAAACGCACATGTTGAAAACGTTTGTCGGGAAGCGGAAATTTACCAACGAGACTTAACGTGCGACTGTGTACCTTACTACGTTGGCATTGTAAGCAGCTTCTTGTCCAACGTTTGACATCCGAGTTAATTTCGGGCCACACGAAACGTTCCGTGATCAGTCTCGTGGTGGCTCGGATTCCAGGATGCGAAAGTTCGTGTAACTGTCGGAATACTTGTCGTCGACAGGCTTGAGGTACAAAGGGAGGATTAGTTCCTGTTGAGACGTCACAGATTATCGATGCATTGGTGAAAGGGATAAGTACACGTTTGAGGATCAAATTAGACTAGTCTTTGCAGGCTTTCAGTTCTGCATCGTCTACTTGAAGGTTTGCTAGTATTTCTAGATTAACATCTTGTTTGCGTACTAGTGTGTTGATATCCCTGCGTGATAGGGCATTGGCTACGACGTTGCTATGTCCCCTGATATACTGAATGTCTGTCGTAAACTGGGAAATATAATCCAGTTGTCAGGCTTCTCTAGGTGAATGTCGCTCATGGGACACGTTAAACGAGTAACTTAAGGGTTTATGATCAGTCATGATTGTAAATGGATGTCCTTGTAGTAAAAAGCTGAAATGTTTAACAGCGAGGTAGATAGCAAGTAACTCACGTCCAAAGGTGCTATAACGTTCTTGTGTCTGTGACAGTCGTTTGGAAAAGAACGCTATGGGCGTAATGACGTCGTTTACTCGTTGTTGTAGCACTGCCCCGACAGCTTTCTGAGATGCAGCTGTGCATAGAATTAGGTTGGTCGTGGGATCAGTATTTAGATGCTGTAACATAGTAGCATTGGATATCAGAGACTTCGCCTTCTCAAATGCAGTTTTAGCAGCAGGCGGTAAGTTGAAAATATCATTTTTAGCTTTCTTCGTCTCTTTTTTATCGGCTTTTAACAGATCAGTTAAGGGTTGTAAAGCTTCTGCGCAGTTGGGTAGAATTCGTCGATAGAAATTACACATTCCAAGAAATCGGCGTAATGACTTTAATGAGTTAGGTTCAGGATAGTTGATGATTGCGTCAACTTGCCTTGTGAGTCTATGTAATGTCCTAGAAACTCCAAGGCAGGAGCACCGAACATGCACTTGGAAGGGTTAATGACGACGCCGTACTTTTGGAAACGATCGAAGAGAGTCTGTAAATGCTGGACGTGTTCTTCAATCGATGCACTAGCTATTAAAACATCATCGATGTAGGCAAAAACGAAATCTAGACCTCTAGTTACTTCATCCATAAAACGTTGAAATGTTTGTGCAGCGTTTTTTAATCCGAATGGCATTCTTAAGAACTCGAATAAACCAAAAGGAGTGATAATGGCCGTTTTTTCGACATCCTCTGGTGCCAGCGGAATCTGATGATATGCCCTTACTAAGTCAAGTTTCGAAAAAATGTGTCTGCCATGCAGGTTCAATTAAAAGTCATGAAGGTGCGGAATTGGGTATCTGTCTGGAACGGTTTGGTTATTCAAACGCCGATAATCGCCACATGGGCGCCAGTCCTGATCTTTCTTTGGGACCATGTGTAGTGGAGAAGCCCATGGGCTGCTTGACTGTCGGATGATATCCAGTTGCATCATATGTTCAAATTGTCTCTTGGCAATTTGCAGTTTGTGAGGCGGTAGTCTCCTGGGCTTGGCGCAGACGGGAGGACCCGTAGTGGTAATGTGGTGCTGCATATGGTGTACAGTGCATTCTTTACGATAGTCAACATTGGTGATACTGTCGTATTTCGCTAAGATATCTGCGAAAGGTTGGCTTATGGGCTTGATCATCCGTACCCCATGAATTTCGTAGTTGTTGTTGGTTATGCCGATTAAGTGTAGACGTGTTTGTTTGTCGACTAGTCGCTTACCATGCATGTCTACTAGCAGATTGTAAGCGCTGAGGAAATCTGCTCCGAGTATCGGCTGATTGACTTGAGCTACTACGAAAACCCACGTGAAACGCCGTCTAAGACCAAGGTCAAGTATGAGAGACTGTTCTCCAAAAGTTTTGATGAACGTTTCGTTGGCCGCCTTACTATTAGTGGTGTTGCCGTCGTGTGATTTGAAGTGGGATGATGCTTATTTCAGCTCCTGTATCGACTAAGAAGTCTGAGCCTGAAATCCTATCCCTGATGTGGAAGAGACGGCTTGCAGCGTGGCCAGAAGCAGTCGCCGCCATCACTGTCTGGCTGGCCAGTTTCCCTGTCTCCTGTCTGTTTGCGAGGCAAGTGCACAGTTTTGTGCAGCGGCGAGCCTCCTCACTGTACTTCTGGTGATACCAACAAATACCGGTTGCCCTCTTCGGAGACATGGAGCGGCGTCTGGAGCATGACCTTCTCCCAGAGAAAGGTGTAGTTGTTTTGGCGCGATTCGTTGCAACGGTGGCCCGCAACATTTGCATTTCCTTAGTCATTTGTATTAGTTGTTGTTGAAAATTGAAAATGTTACACATGTCCGCAATGCCGGTAGTTTGAACAGAGCTTACTAAATTATTATCTGGGTAAATTTCCATTATTCTATCTGCCATGTCAGCTAAATCTGTCGAGCTGACGCAGTCAATGGTCGTGCTGAGAATTTGTCGTACATTTTGTGGTAGGCTTTGTGACCAAATTTTTTTCAGCAGGGCTTCATCTAATTTAAATTGGCCTGCTAAATCTTTCATATGAATTAATAATTGTGATGGTATATACACATTTTTCAGCCTTAAATAAATTTGAAAAAAATATCAAACGTAAATACGAATTACCTCATCACCTGCTGAAACTTGACATATTACTTTACCCGTTGCTGGATTGATAGTGTTGAAGGTTTTTCCACTAGATGACTCTACCCAGTTGTTGTTAATGAAAATCTAATTTAGAGTTTACGTTACATTGCATAAACCAAAACATACCGAGTTTCGCTTTATTTCCGGCTTTGAAATAGGCTCTACTGTTGTACTCAAGAACGTGCGTATATTCTTAGCAATTGCCCGTGTTCTCAAAGGCTTCAACCAGGAATACAGGGAAAACATCCTTAAGCTTCGCCAAGTTTTAAGGCTGTCAAAACCCGGAAAAAAACTTTATTACTAAAAGAAACACTATTAAGTCATTACTCATATACAGCATTATCATAGAACTCTTCAAAGACTACCTTAAATTGTGAAAGGCTTAGATATTATAGTATGATTAAGACATGAGTTTCTCCAAACTGAATGACTCAAATTATCGTTCCGAAGAATACACATCACTTTTATAGCTGGTTGATATAGTTTTTATGTTGTATACCGTAAAATGAAACTCAGATGCCCGAAAAAGGGATCAGAGTCGTGTTGAACAGTAGTACGGAAACAAAAGATAAAGTAGGGTGTAGTATGAATTTACACTGAAATATGAAAGCGATAGAAAATAAATACGTACTTGTCAGAACAAGGCAATTTGTGCCAACGGCTAGTCACAGTGATGAGTGAAGGTCAAGCTGCCGTAAATTCAGATGTGCCGCAAAGGTCACCCACGGGTGTTTTCGTGGATCTTATGTGCTATCGTGGTCTCCGTTGTAAACACTAAAAATAGAAACTAAAGACGCTGTGCACATCACAAATTCGGTTTTTGTAACAGAAGTACTTATTACCTCACTAAGTGATAGAATAGCGATACCATGGAGAAACACTTAATGCGTTCCAGGGAGAAATAAAATAACCAGTGACTGAGTTTTTGCCATAAAATCACTGATACTTTATCCTGAATACTAAATACTGCTCTTTCTTATTTTTTAACCTACGCCTGTCTGATATGTTGAAGCTTGAAGTAAGGAAATATACCCGGAAAGTCCTAAATCATAGTTCACTCATTGACTATCCAACCCGATGTATTGAACTCGGGCTCGATCCATTATGGAAAAGAAGGCTTAAGTCCAATCTGATCCTTTACTTTGAACTGCTGCTGTTTAGTCCTTATCCATGGCCCATGTATACATAACCTTCGAGATAAAGTATCTACGGTCAAACTTGAGAAGTATTGATCCAAAATTCGAGAAAACTTCTTCCTCTCTAAGTATGCACTTATATGGAATAGGCTTCCCTCAAAAATACTCATGGCAAGTGGGTTACATGAGTTTGTTCAACTTCTTAATGATGCTATCAGTTGCACTAACTCTTCTGCGATCGTGAACTCACTCTCACCCTGCTTTCATATTAATAGCCCTGCATATACTTTAAACACAATGAACTCAGTGCTGCGTCTTATTTAGTTATTTTTACCCACCCAAGTAGCATTGCATTTTTCTAGTTGAATATAAATCTCTTTAGTTTTTATTTGAAATAGACAGGTTACTCTGCTCACTGGGTCGATCGACACTGTTCAAATGTAAACTGGTTGATTAGAATGCACTCTACTCTCCTGTGCGCAACCTTATCAACACTTACAACTGTGTGAGTTTCACATTGCCTATTATCAATTATACTGTTCTCAATTACGCGCTATTGACTTACCTTGATCCCTTAGTGTTATCTATTGCTCCACTTTTAACCCTGATACTCTTTATTTCTCCTGCGTAGCTAGTTAAGTACATCTCCCCCACTACATTCTAAATGCTTATATCATGTTTGAAAATCCTTACTATTTCTCCATAACTGTTAACTGTATAGCATTGATGCCCAACCAATAGTTCATAAGTTGTAACAGCCAGACACGTTTATGAAGGAAACTTGCAGAAATAGTGTTTCTCAACAGGATGTGAGACATATAGCACCAAGTAGAACTCAATAGTTTTTTAATTATTTAACATGAGCATAACAACACAAAATGAGGGAGGGTGGAGTTACTGACCAGCAAACATTGATGGTGTGGGCGATGACTTCAAAGCAACCATGTTTGTGGGACAGAACATTTTTTTTGCTTTCGGCTCTTTAGATTGATGAGATGACTAATCAGTAACACTGAGATCGCTCTTATACGCTTGCTACTTCTGTGGTTCATGTTTCCAAAACTATGATGAGGTAGCTATTCTGTCGAGACACCCGCAACATTCTAACTCAGGCGCTTACAGTATTACCTAGGGGTTGGCATTCAATAATAATAAAAATAAAAAAACAGACAGTGCGAAATATTATTCATCATTGTTTTATTTTTACAAACTCTACTCTTTCAACTAGAATTTCGATTTCAACGTACATAAATCCAGCTTCTTACCTCGACTTCTCTTCTATCCAACTGACACTGCACAACTCTTCCTTCTTTTTGCTATACTCCTTTATCTGTGAGTTATATTCTTATATTCCCATAACTTACTTTAATTTAAGTGGTCAGTAGGAATTTTATCTTGACTTACTACTGTATTGACTACTTCAACATGACAGGTTAAGTAGTGCTTTGGTTATATATATACACTTGACACACTGCTGCCTTTTCTCTCTCTCTTCTCCTTTTCAGAACCCCATTCACGGTGGGAAATCCTTGGCTACTCTAGGGAACATGCACCCTAGGTACATGACTGTCTGGATCACAACTCGTATCAAGCGCGTTCCATATGACCTTACCCAACAAATTCACTACTGATCTCGGCAAATCGCCAAAAGAACCTATTGTGCACCTTCCTTATTTGTACTCTACTATTGAAAATGAGGCTGTATCATACTGTTTCTGTCAGTGAGATGGTGTAAATATGTCATCAGAAACTGGCTTATACCTTATTTAACTGCTATAACTTTTACATTAATTGTGAAAGCATTTGTGACAATTTGATCTAGCCTGTAAACTTGCGTGACTCTTGTAGCGTAGTCATTTGAGAATAAATATTATTTTATTAACTTTTATCGTCGATTCATCCTCGTCATGCACAACTTATGCAACTGTTGACAGATTCCTTTAAAGGAAAATCGAAAGACATCTGAGTCTTTTGAAGCTATTAAAGAACTGAAAAATCGTCTTTTATCTGATTCTCAGAGTAACGGGATTAGCATTTGTTATCCCGCGAAGAAGTATTATTATTCGATTCGCTATACCTGAACCATTTCTTTCCAGTACTATGCGAAAATTAAAATTCATTCCTCATCTCATTTTGGAGCAAAGTCTACCAACAGAGTGATACAAACCAAATATTTATGGCCTGATATACACAAAGGTATACATAAGTAGAGGGAATGTTCCGCGTGCCAACAGTTGAACCACATTTCCTATTAGAATTCCTTCACATCCAGGTGTACGTTTAGCACAAGTTCATATTAATTGGGTAGGCACCAAATCGCATTCAGACGGTTTGACTCATGTTTTTGCGTCCATAGACAGATACACAAGGTTTTCTGTAGCAATACCGATAACCGACATCGCAGCTGAAACAGTGGTGGAAACATTTATTCAAAACTGGGTGACAGTTTTGATGTACTCACTGCAACAACAAACGATAAAATAGCATAATTAGAATATGAACTATTCAGTAGCTGATTGAGACCTCTAGGCTCTAATAGGATGCGGTGCACAGCATATCATCCTTGTGCCAATACGATGGCAGAATGTTTTCACCGCTAGTTAAAATCCGCTTCAATATGACAATGAACCCCAATCAGTCAACACAATTCCTTCCATTAGTTATTTCAGGAATAAAAAGAGCTTTCAAAACTGCTTCACTATGATCGGCTAAAGAATCACTTTTCGAAGCAATTTCAAGAGTACCAGTTGAGTTTGTCAATCTTTGTGTTGACGGTAAAAAAGCTCGACACAGCTTAATATGAGTCAACTACGAAGTCAAGCTTTCAGATGCAATCCGATTATTACTCTTGAAAAGTCACAGACAATTATATATCAAAGGGCCTAGGTACTTGCATGCACATGTGGATAAGTGTGACCCGTTACCTTCAGCTGTGATACTTTCAGTTAAAGTAAAGAGATCGTCGTCGATGTTCAATACTTACAGAACAATTTGTTTTGGCGATTTACTTACCACTAAAAATATTTCCGTACATAATTCCCAATACAGTCAAGCAACCTAGAATCATAGGCGTTATTCAAATTACTGACATCTCCAAATCATCTAATATGGATATATTCCGAGTCATGAAGATTACCAAGCATTTACAGCAACACTAATTATACTGCACTGGCGAACGCTCAGTTTAAACTATAAGCAGTTATCTGTGATGGCTTTATATCACCATAAACCATTGTTACGACAAGGTAATAACGCAGTATGGATGGTGATGTAAGGAAAAGCAGTCGAGCGAATCTCCTGCATACTGAAACACGGCTACTATATTTACACAAACTCTAAGATGAATATTAAAGAAGTAAAATTATCATAAGCATGGATTAAGAGTTGCATTTCTTTTGGCTATAACTAATGAGCTCCTTGATAATTACATAGGCAGCAATAATCCTATATAACTAAAAACATCGTAGAACATGTTGCCTTTCAAATGGTATGGACGTCTAAACTCCATAATTACAATAATAATATTAATAATTTATTTTCGAATTACAACACGTTACATGAGGCATGCCAATTTACAGGCAAGATCAAAATGCTAAGATTACTAACATATTTTTATAAAACGTTCGGTTACTGAAATATTTCACAAGATACATAGGCTTCATATAGATGCCTAAAACTTTCCATATAAAATTAATAATAATAATAATTTATTCTCAAATAACAAACATGTTACAAGAGACATGCAGGCAAATTGTCGCGGGCAGCACCTCAAAGGCATAGCCTATTACTGTTAGTAGGAGCAGGGGGATTCGTATATTATTTCGTTATACCTGTACCGATGGTAATGCAGGTGCAATATGTTCATAGTCTGTAATTGTTTCCTAAGTTTTATCTAAATATTTGGTCGACCATAAAAGAAGGCCTCGGGACTTGATGTGATTTCCGGGGATGGTCGATAAATCTCTTTAGAATCTAACAACAGCTTTACTAGTTTCTTGGACTTGAAGATTGTATCGCAAAGAAATTGGTAAGCTGTTCCACAATATACTGTATCCTGTTACACAGAAATTACGACGCGATTATTGTTAGGGGGACATAGATGGATTAAAGTATGACTGCGTTAGCTGCATGCTGATTGGCTAAATCTAATTCGGTCAGTACTAGTCAATCAGGTGGATTACATTCCAGAAGCTTCTCATGTAACAACTATAAAGATATTAACGTTGTATCTATTTTGCCTTTGCCTTCGCCTTTGGATTCTTATTTCCATTTAACCTTAGTATTTGGAACATAATCTTTTCCTGTTCCACAGTTTTCTGACTTTTGGAACTTGTCCAGTGTATTGTGGTCAGAGAATACTAAACAGTAGGAATTAGCTGCGATTAATTAAGTGAGCGGTACAACAATTATTTTTTGTGTTTTGCCGTTAACAGTGTACAATCGTTGTTTCTAATTCTGTTAGCAGTGTCGTGGCTCATAATTGAGCGGTATTTTACGAGAGACCAATTATCAGTTTTTTAACCGACGGCGCCATAGAGGTTCTAGGGATAGATATTTGCATCGTTCTGTGTATCCGTGGTTAGGGCTCCAGCCGAGCAGTC